CTAGTAATATTTCTAACAATCTAAATAACAGTATGTACAGCTAATATTGTCTGAAACCCAACAGGCAGTTCAAGAAACTCAAAAATGGCTTCAATTTCAATCCCATTCATACATTTCCTCTCCCTTTTAACTCATATCTTCGAGCCCAAAAAAGATAATTCATGAAATTCAATCGACTACGAGAACACATTAGCTGGTAAAATTTCTCCAAGTGATACTGATCCAAGTTGGTACCAGATAGCCACGGTTTGTACTTGGAATCATCCATTAAACTGTTAACTAATGACACAATTGCAGTGCCAACATAACATCCCATTGCCAATGATGCCCAACATAGAGAAATAGCCAATGATCTCATGATAAATGGCGCTTCAGTGAAGAAAAAATCGAGCAACTCGGCTAAGGCGAATAGATATGCTGATCCAAGAAATAAGTACTGTAAAGCGATATAGAAGAACGTAATGGGCAGTGATATGGCCGAGTCGAGTAATTTTGATTTAGTAGCGACTTTCTTGTGCTTGATTTCGACCATAGCTGCTATAGCCATGGCTATGATGGAGAGGACTGGGCCGAGGCCAATGCGCTGTAAGTGAGTGATGTCTGTCTTGGTTTTTGTTACTCAACGAGTGAAAGGGATTATGATGTGTGTAGGGAATTTATTAACATGCACAGTGGAAAATAAAACAAATTGCAATTTTTACTAAAGAAAATTATACTTTTTGTAGATTTTGCAAACTCTTTTGCTAATCTTTGAACACGAACAATCATGATCTGTAATCCACAGTTGTCCAATTGTCCAACTTCCAATGAAAATTCACACAACGAAAAAGAATGAGAGAATTATAGTTTCTCTTTCTTATGCTCGCAAGATAATGAATTGTATTTTGTTATGTTTTTCTTAAACCCTAATAGTTTATGAATATAGGTTTAAATGAGCTTGACCCGTCTCTTAAAACTAAATTCGGTCCAATATTTAATTAATCTAATAAATTAAATTTGGTCCATGAATTAATTAATTCGGGCATATTGACAACAAATCCAATTAATTAATTGTTCAACACTTGTTAATTAATTAATTGGAGAATCTCATTATTATGGTTCTCCTTTTGTGTGTGACTCATTTGATTTCTGATTACGATACCCAACGTCGTGAATTATTATTTCGATCTAATCAAAATAGATAAATTAAAATACCCTCTTTTAATTTATCATCAATTCATATTTTTCGTCTCAGATTGACATCAAGCAATGTGTCAGG